CAGCTGGCTGCAATGGCGTCCAACATGGACCGAGAAATGATATTGGCTGATTTCCAGGTAAATTTCAAGCCGCCGCTGCCACACAACCGTGGCCTCTCGCTGCTTTTTCTCTTTCTCCTTGTTGCTGTGCTGCTTGTTCTTTGTGGGAAGGTCCAGGGCGGTGGGTGTGAAGCCCAGTCTCTAAAGCCTCCGCTCTTTCTTTCTTTCTTTCTTTTTTTTTTGTCAGAAATAGGGAACATGCGCCCTCTTCTCTCAAGGTGCGTGAACAAAATGTCATCTTTAACTTAAAGAGTTGGGGTTTTTCATAAAAAGAAAGCTTTGTCATCCACTTTGCTTGTTCCAACCCTCTGCAACCGCCCAGGCCCTGGGACAGCTGTGTACCAGCTCACTTGGAAGAGGCAAATGCCAGGGAGGATACAAAACTCATCACTCCTCATGATTTGGCACAGTGTTTGTAGTGAATCACTTACTGGTACTACAGATTACGCTGAACTGAGGTGTTTCCATTGTGACATCAACACTAACTTCATGGTTGCCTCAGCCTATGACTGTTGTAATGACGGTAAAACTCTTCCCACCCCATTCCAAACAATGTGTGTGTAGAGAGGAAGAATATGTCCTTGAAAGTTGTTTGTTACCTTCCCTCCTCCCTACAAAAGGTTTAGAATTTTACTTTGAACTCTTAAATCTTATTCCCAGAATAAAGTCTTTCTCTAAATAAAAGCGATGTGTTCGGGAGCCTGGTTAATCTGTTCAGTATAGTGCTTCTTAATATCGCTTGGTTTTATATTGTTTTTCTAAGAACAAGTGAAAAAACAAGTGGATGATATCTGCATTTGGAATAGTGGGGAGAGGCAAAAGCAGCTTGGAAGGGTATCAGATTGTATTTTAATGTATCTCTTTCATATTTGCTTTTCAATTGATTTTTTTTTTTTAAGCTTTGTCCATTTGCGGTGGTGGTTCTTACACGGATAGACTCCTGGATATTCTTGGATTGAGTTGTAAAACTGCTGTCTGTATGTTCGACTTCTTAAAAGAGTGTTTCTCAGCTGTTAGTGATGAAACTATTTAATTTAGTTTAAAAAAGGTAATCCATTCACTCTGTGTGTGTTTAACAAGAGTGTTTCTTTGGAGCTACAGGTAGGGTGACTGTAGGGTACATTATGTAATTCCTCTTTTGCAAAAGGTATCTGATACCTGACTGATGTAACACACGGAGTTCCCAGTTGATAACAGGGAAACGTTTTCCCTTTCTGTACCTGAGTATCTTACGCCCATATTTATTAAAATGTTTAACAAGTGTTTCTATAATGATCCTTTATTTTGTTGTGCTTGGACATGCTTTTGTGTGTGTAAGGAGTGACATCTCAATTTTAAGGCTGGGGATTCATAAAGGAGTTCTTCCAGTAACAATACACTGTGTAAAAGGAAACCAGGACCCCAATTCTGCACTCATACCAGTGGAGACAGACTCTTAGGGAATCCCTCATTATTAGCTGAAGCAGGTTTACATTCAGTAGTCCCAGATGATGATTACCTTAGTGGCTGGTGAATGTAAGATTTTTTTTTTTTTAATAGAGTTTTCAATCTGTATCTGTTTTCCAAGTTTTCAGTGTCAATGCTATTTTGCAGTTCTGCAGGATTTTTCTGCTAGAGTTTTGAAACCAGTTAATAAAGGTATAAGAGTAACTGCAGCGTTTGGTACCATGAAGACAAGTAAGTATTGCAAACTTGCAGGTCGGCAGTGGAGTCACAAAAACCCGTTGTAGATCAAGGATGACATAATGTGTCTGAACCTAGGACCCAGGAAATATTTTATCACATAACAATGCTTGTTTAAAAATGACCAAACCTTTTCCTCTTGTTTTTCAGCAGACAACTTTGTTTTTCTGTTTAATCCTCTTTTTTTTTTTATTTTTTTTTAATAATCTCAAGCATCTGCCTGATTCTGAAACACTGAACTGTCAATTTTCATGCTGTTAAAGCTTCAGATGAGTAAAGGACAATGTTAGTTGTTATTAGGTCTCATATATTCAGGCTGTTACGAAACAGTAAAGGATTTTGGGTATTTTAAATATTTGATGAAGTTTACAGTCATTCACTAAGAATTTAAAATGGAAAATGAAACGCGTGAATAAATATGTGCAAAGTAATTCTGCATGATTTTCCCTTCTATATTTTCTGTACCTTTTAATTAATAAATATGTTTATCAGAGCTCTGCTTCCATCTTTTATGTTTGGGTGAGGTACCTCATTGAAGAATGTTGTGCACACTGGAAATTTTAAAAACAATTCTTTGTAGTTTTGTTCAGCTAATCTTTGCTGAGTTAAGTTGGGAGGGAAACTTCCATCACCATTTCACGCTTGCCTTTCCCAAGTTACTTTTAAAAGGGATAGAGCAGTGGTCTTTGAACTTTTAAAACTTGAAAGGGTTTTCCCTCCCCATAAAAAATTTTTCAGTGAAGTCATAATTATACTGATGTTTGATGCTTTTGTGAAGCTTTCATGGACTTATTTTGTATCTTTCAAAACTGTTAGGGATTCTGCCATTGATTTCAGATAGAGTAGGATCTTGTATTGTATCTGGTTTTTCTTTTTAGCTCTGATTGTTGTAACAGGTTACTTTTGCATTCTGAGGTACTAAGGAGAGATAATTTAAAAAATATTTAGTGTATATATGCATATGTATACATACAAACATTGAATAATTATATAAAATATTTTGACTACAGAGTAAAACATAGTAAGTGATCTACCAAAATATTTTTTCCTTAATGTCTCAAAACAATTTAAGCCTGTTCTGTGTGGTTTATAATGCTTTTCTTTCCCTCTCCTTTTTTAATGAGGTCACTGTATGCTACCCAGGGAGTACAAAGTACGTATTCATGCATGTGGGCTGTATGAGCAACCTGTCTAAGTTTTCCTTCTTAGGTCCTCACTTAGGAAGGATTATGCAGAAGCTTAGCTTTATACATGAGCAGTCTGATTGTTTTCCGTGGAAGTAGCTAAAGTAGTGGAGTTGAGCGCACAGACAAGTTTTAGCTGTTTTAGTAAATGCAATTCAGAATTTCTCCACAAAGCGTCATTGGCATGTAGGAAAAAACTCCATAGGAAAAACCCAACAACTTGTGTTCGTAGTGTAAATTATTTAAAAAGGTAACTGCATGGTAAAAGTGATGCTGCAACATGCCTCACATACTGGGGGAAATAAGGGCATATGATTTCTACCAATTTTTGTTAACGTCACTGTTCTTCTTTTGTTTGTTGTCTTTAACTGCAAAATGTTCTTCCATCTCCAGGGGGATACCCAGGTACTCACATAATACAAATATATTAATGATCTATGTAGCCTGGGGTTTGAAGGGAATTGCTCTCACAGTGTGTTGGTCCAATTTTCATAAATAGATTTTTTTTTTTCCTTTTTAAATTGCAAACTTTGGTTGCACTCAACTTAGTTAAATTGGCTGTTCAGGAAGGAAAACCAACCTTTGAGTATTGGCAGAAGTGTCAGACGTTGACATTTTTGTATGCTACGCCTTTACTTTTGTTTTTACAGCTTTACTTAGGATGGGGACTAAAATAGGCAAGGATATTTTTTTGTCATAGGTTATGTCTACCCATAGGACTCTTCTTTTTCCATGCTCTGTGGTTGTCCTCCCAACAATTTCTAAAGGTAGAGTGGACCTAGGGGTTGGAGTGTTGTGGGAGTTGCCAGCTCCTGGGTGGCCACACTTTGCAAGAGTATCTGTCACGTAGAGCTTCAGAAGGAAATTTTCCACCAAATTCACGTTTTTCATTGACCGAATAAAAAAGTAGCTCAAGATTGGGTCTGGGTGGGAAGACTTTGGAGTGGAATGGCAAAACTCAAAAATCCTTGCTTTCACTGAAACAACAAATATCGAATACTTTTCTTCTTCCTTCTGTCTTCCATCTCTGTTCATTGTGAAACAAGGTTATGGGAGGTGTTTTCTTTTTATGATTTTTTTTTTGTTTTAACTGAGTAATAAGACGGTTTTGGTATGATTCACACGCATGTATATAAAACCATTTTTTTCAAACTTCACCTTTGTGTCAATCTTTTTAATAAAAACAGAGGTTTGTGGGAGGAGCAAGTGGGAATTGGGAAGGATGAACCTCATGGCCTTCAGTTGCAGAAAGGTGAGAAAGCATGCTAGCTATTCATGTTCTAAGTTATAAAATTGACCATGACATTGATACATCAGCTTATTATTTTATTTTTTTTTTAAGATATAACTATAGATCAAGCTGCTAATTTCCTTCTGGAATGGCTAAAATGAAAGAAACACAGTGCTGTTAAATAACTGACAAGATATATTTTGAAAGGTTTCATTTTTTGGTGGTTGTGGTAAACATCTGTCTATTACAGCCCTGTTTAAGATTATCTCTGCTATGCACACGGTTTTCACTAAGAGTCTATGTGCAGAATTTACAAGTGGGTTAATTTTTTTGGGGGGTGCTAAGGAATGTTTGCTTTCTCCTGTTTGTGTTGGCGTGCTGGCTCGGGTTTTCTGTTAAGTTGTTGCCAGTATGAAAATGTGATGGGTGAAAAAGGTAGGCAGACGCAGGAATAGCTTTGAGTCCGTACCCTTGATTTTTGCCCTGTACTGTAACTTATGCTGGGGGCTGGAAAGTGTTTCACCAAGTTTCTGTAAGGGTAAACCATCCACTAAGGAGTTTTGAAGGAATAAAGTTTGTATCCTTTTTTCATTAAGGCATTGGAGGAGCAAGGACTGTTCCTGATTTATTTGCAGACTTTCTGTGAAGTGTTTGCCAATTCATTTGGAACAAGGTCCTCAGTAAAAGATAGGTGCTGAAGAGACTTCCAGTCAAAGTTTAAATCTTTGGAAACTGTCCTCCAACTTAGGCTGAAAGTTCTTGGAGGCCTATATTTTCATCAGAAAGTCTCCCTAGGCACCTAAACGTCTGGTTTTATATGTGTTCAGATCTATGGAAGCTTAAAACCTCGGCCTTGCTCATACCAAACCATTCTTTTGTATGGCCTCCCTGTAGAATATAATGCAGTGGGCGCTCCCAGA